GCGCCCCGGAAGGTAAACACGGCTCCGGGAGCGCCGCGGAGCGCTTCCCGGCCCGGGGCTCTTCAGCGCGGCCCTGCGCCCTCAGCGCGGCCCGGCCCCGGGGCTGCCGCGGCCCCTGCGCGCCCGGAGCCACCTGGGCACCAGCATCCTGCGGGGCAGGAACGCCACACCGGGAAAGGAAGGTGAGAAAAGTGGAGATAAAGCGTCCACATAGATTGTCCTCTGCTGCCGCATGTGCTGTGCAGGGTGAAAGCTCGGAAAGGGTCGTTAAATAAAAACAAAAAACTAAGTGATGATAATAACTGATGTCATAAGTCCCTAGGCCTATTTGAGAGGTGCTGGCCCTGTGTGGCCAAAACCACCCGGAGCATCTAACTCCCAACTGGCCCCAAACTTTGTCAGCCTCCTAAAGATGCTGTAACTGATCAGTCCTAGATTTCGTGCAATGAAATACTTCAATTCGTCATTCATGCAGGAATCTGAAGGAGAATGTTAGCTACAAATAAAGACGATTGTTGTTGTGGTTGCTTGTGTGGTTGTTGCAATTTTCCAGGAATAAAATTCCTGTGGCCTAATATTGGGAAAGTAACATTAATACTTGGAAGGCAAGGTGATGGAAATATATTCCTAATTTTAGGCCACAGAGTAGTCTAGCATGACTAATCACCCATCCTTGTAAATATAACAAGGGTAATTAAAAAACATTTGTAAAAGAGAAATAAATCTCAGTCTGAAAATACTTTGCACTGAAAGGAAAGCCTGTACCATCAGGAAATACATGGAATTGCAGTGAAGGTCAGGAGCTGGACTTCAATGACCCTTGTGGGTTCCCTCTGACCCAGGACATTCTGTGATTCCATGATCCGTGCTCTCCAGAACAACAACCTCCCTTGGGGTGACCCAGTGATACCTTCTGAACCCAGGGGCCTCCATACTATACAAGGTATTCATCTTTAGAACATTCCTGTTTCAAGTGTTGAACTTACTCTTTTCAAGACTGGGGATGTAGTATAGGTCTTCATTTCTGCTTCTTAGAACAGTCCTTGTGTACCATCAAGAAATCTTTGGCACAAGATCTGAGTCTAATATGAACATATATATTTGGAAACTTGTTTATTTTGTATATGTCTGCTGTAAGTAAGTACAATCTCTAAAGGCAGAAAAAGCTGTCATATGTAAGGACTTTCTGAAATTAAAAATGCCAATAACTAGTTGCATGCCTGAGAATAATGTAGAAATACTTGACTAAATACTAGAATTAGAAATAATATTAATATTAATACATATATAATATGTATTATATATATGTTAATAATATAATAACAATATTAATGCAAGCACAATGGGAGATCTCTAAGGATGATATATTACCTTCTCCACTGATTGCAAGTATTGAGGTTGACAGCAATACTGGAAAAACTTATTTATTATTACTCAGTACAAATACACTTCTCTCCCAGTCATCCAACACCCAGAACATAGTTGTAATAATCAAAAGATTTGGTGGTAACTAGAACAGTAGCTCGTTCTTCAGTAGCTGGTAATGGAAATGAAGTTTCACAGACAGTCTGAGGTTTTACCAAGCCACAGTCACTGCAAGTGCATTCTTCCACTGAATACATTAACGTTTCTCTTGGAAGTGTGTGTCTAATTTCTTCCGTATTCCCACTGCTTTCAGTATGAGCCTTGAGAATAGTATTCAGCTCCACAGAGGAGTCTGTAAATATACAGAAGTTGATTTAGTACATACATCATGCTGTACTAAACAAAGAGCTATTAAAGATCCAGATTTCATTATGGTCCAACTATGTTCTAACCTCAGTGAAAATTTTAAGATTTAGTGGAAATTTTAAAATGTAGCTACATATAATTTTTTTTTCTGTGACAGGACAATCCTCTACTTCAGAATAAGTATTGAAGTAATCCAACACATGTTTTCTAATCAGTTATTATTTAATGTCTGAGAATTCACAAATAATAGTATCTGTAAAATGGAAAAAAACTTTTTCACCTTCACATGCTTTTCAAAGACTACAATATTAAATAAAATTATTTAAAATCTTATAAAATGAAAAGCTAGTATTGCATGTGTATCCTCTGCCTGGGAAGAATTTCTTTTGCATCCAATGAGAGTGAAACCCTTATAAAGCTTTTTTGCTTTTGTGCATTCATAAATGATTTCTCAAACAGCAGCAAGTAAGCCAGGTATGAATATACAGCAACACAATCCTGACAGGATCCAGAACCAACAAAGAAATTGCTGCTTTTGCAAGTCAGCATCTGTATATTTATTCCCTAATAACTGTGGTAACTTCATGGAGATTATATGAGGAATACTAAATAATCCAACAAAGACAGTCATCAGAACCTGGAATATATGCAATCTTTTTACATGGTAAGAGTAGCTAAAATGTACAATGATCTACAATTATTTTATGAAGAATCTTATTTATTCACCTGTGTTTTCCAGTTTTTCTTTTAGTTGCTTTAGGTGCTTCCATTTAAACAAGACCATTAAGGTGAACAGAGTGAGTATTAAAATCAACCCTATGCCCAAACAAATCCAAAGAATTCCACCTGAATCGGTACCTTATGAAATAAAAGAGATGCATTGCATTAATAATAAACAATAATTAATGTACAGTAAACATGTCCAGCACATCAAACTTAAATGTAAAATACAACAGGAAGATACCTAGCACAGCCACAGAGTACTGCAGAAATCTACTTACTCTTCTCGCAGTAGTTTTCACATGAGGGCGGTGGTGCACTGGAACACCGGAGCTGACAAGGAGTACAAGAGAGCAGCAGATTATCAAAGTATTCATTTTTGGGGCACTGTGCCATCTGGGGCAGTAATTATGGAACTACAAAGCCACAAAAATTGTAAAAGAACGAGGATCATCCACAAAAGGCTTCTCAGTTCTCAATCTGAGCAACTCTAAAAACAGTTAGCAGTAATAATGGACTTCCATCACAGTTCCACTACATGGGATCATGTTACAGAAAAAGGATTTAACTCTGAGGTCCCCAAGGAATTTCTGTTCCTTATTTGGCAATTCACAATTGTAGAAAAACTGAGCAGCTGCACCAAGATAGTTTTCAATGTAAATTTTGTCTGAAACAGAAAATGACTATTTATAGAAGACATTTCTGGAGCAGGTGCTAATTATTACAAACTGTAGAGGAGATCTCCAAACAGGAGTTCATGATAACTCTTCTTGTCTCTAAAACATTGGGGATATTTTTCATGGTGACTGCTTCTCAATTCCAAATTAGCCTAATTTATCTTCTATTAGTATTTGTTTGGCATTTTTGCTTAGTTCATTTTGGGGGTTTTAGCTATTTTTATTTTTTTTTGCTTATAACCATATTTCTATGAGAAATTTAATAAGATTACATTCTAATAATGAAAGAAGTGCTATATTAATATTTTACAATTTTGATTTAAAACATCTGCATTTTTCACTTATTTTTCTGTATTACAGAATTGTCATTGGGCTAAAACTGCAGTACCCAGCATGAAAAAATAAGTTTATAGGACATCTCCTTCCCAGACAGGTAGATGTATGTACAGTGAATGTAACATTGCTGAAAATGTATTTGGTCTCCTCACAAGAAAAATAAAAAAGCTTTGACTACAGACTGTCCCAATGAAAACAGTTTACACAGCTAACTTGTATCTTCATGTTTTATTCCAATAGAATTTGTTTTAAATACAAAGTTAACCAGTAGTTTCTAGCAAGTAGAAATAACTGCCTTTATCCAGTCTCACTGCCACAAACAGATCAGAATTACAGGCTGTCTCTCATTATCATACTTAAGTTAATTGCCTTTTTGACTACAGAAATGTAGAAGGAAAACATTGTATAAGGAGTTGTAATTTCATACCACATTCCTATGAGACTTATTTTCCCACAAAATGCACCATATGGGAATACACAAACTGTTTTTAGTGGAGCAGTCTAACAGATCTGTATTCTAGTCATTAGCAGATGGAAATGCTCATTGTGGCTTCTGTGCTTGTTTCTATGGGCCAGGTGCACAGCTCAAGGCTTTCTATCACAGGCTTTTCTCCCTCTTCAAGATTAGTGGATAAACAAGAATTGATGAAATCTGATTTAGCCTTTTCAGTCATGGAGAGGACAATCACATTCTCAACAATGATCTCAAGAAAGCAGATACTCGTGAAAGTATCTTCATGATATCCACAGGTACAGTAAGTGAATTTCAGGACAGACAAGCTGGATCCAATTCTTTAAGCTTTTATCCACTGACTTCAGTGAAAGATCCCAGCCTTTGCTGCACTCCTGGATTACTTTTTAAGGGGTGCAACACCTTACATTTGTCTTTGTTTGACTTCATCACGCACTCCTGCTCTACATGTTGCTGTGATGTATCCTACAACTGACATTGGTACTATTCATAAAAACTGTAAAGAGACTTTATAAGAGAAACGTGATCACCTACTGGGGATGTGCAATGAAATCCACCACAGAAATCCACATTTGGTGAACTAATGCACCAATGTCTTCATTTGAAAAGTCCTGTCAAAATTCAAGTACAGTAGAAATTAATTTATGCCTAATTATTTGAGATTGTATATATAGGATCATAAGATATTGGGGCAGAAATGCTTTCTCTCTCAGTTGGCCAGAAAGTTTTCCTATATGGCTGGTTAGAGTTCAAACATATTTCTCATAAGACAAGAAGTAAATACAAAGCAGTCTCATCTTTCAGTCAAACTCTAGGAAACTCCCCCCCCAAAGTCAAAGGCACAATACAGCTCATTTCATCAGAGCTCTGCTGTCTCTTACAGCAATAATTGTCCCTCAACAGTTGGACTACTATTTCCCGAAGCTTGCAGCCTTTAAGGATAAACTAATTTCTTTGACGGATGTGTCCCAAACCACAAATCCTTGATATTTAAGCAATACATTTTTTACACACTGGAAACTGGGGAGCAATGACTGTAAAGGGTCTCTAATGTGTCATTCGTTTAAGCAGCCACCACTCAAGTCCCAGCCTTTTCCCCTTAGCTATACACAGTGCCAGTGATGTATGTAATGACAAAACACAGGCAACAAATGGTTCAAAAAGCGATGAGGAACTACAGTTGTCAAGGCCTGTTGCCTTTGTTTTCTGCACATCCCAACATTCAAAAGTTCCTCTCCTCAAGGGCATGAAAGCAAGCATGTAATCAATAAATCTTCATAAAGCAACAGTTCCCCCTGACAGACCTCACTACACATCTAAAATACATGTTATTTCAAAATCTATGTCCAGGAGTAAGGAAGACATTTTCTAGCTTAACAAGGTTCTTGTGCAACCTTCACTTTTGAGTCATTTTGATAGAAGGGAGTTAATATTAAAAAACTCAAACAAACAACCCTTTAAGCACTTTTTTGGAAGATGTGTACTATACCAACTGGCTTTAATACGAGATGTTTTATACCTGAATTGAGAAGTTGTTTATACAGTTAAATATTGAATTCAGCCAGCGAATGAAAGAAAACATAGAAGCATTAACAATAAGTTCATTAAGAGACATTAAGAAAAGGATATTGTTATGGGCACACCAAGTACTGAACATCCAGCTAGAGCATTTCCTGCCATGAACACCAATTTGACTGTTGGTTTTGTTAAGCACCTGGAGAAACCAAAGACTTCCAGAAATTCTTGTCTGTTCTTACTTGTAACATGTTAAATTGATATTATGTGACAGAAATCAGTCACCTGGACAGAGTAAGAAAAATTTTATCTTTCACTGTTTAATTTTAAAAAAGCCATTGAGAGTGTCTAAGCTAAAATAATAAAATTAAAACTCTGGATGGAAAATCAAAGTAAGTAATATCATCATATCAATGATTAAAGATTAAAAATTAACTGTCATAGAACAATAACTTAAGGTCTATTTAACACACATAACTTAAACAGCAAAGTTGTGTTGTGGCATTGCTTCAGGGTTTCTCTGTTCAAGCTCATGCCAGGTTTTTTGCCTGACTGTACTTCAGAAATTCTGCTGGCATAATTACATAGCACTTACGAAGAGAAAGAGGGTTTTCTGCTAGGACTATAATATTCCCTTCACAAACAACATTAGCCAGGCTGACAGAGGAATTCTTCTGGTTGTATAGTTGCTTCTACATTGATGGTTTTGTGCTGGCACAGCTCTCTTTATCCCACTCACTAAGGCAACTGACCTACACTGTCAAATCTTATAGTACAGGCTTGCTCTGATCCTCTCCAATTCTCTAAAGCTATTTACAGAATAAATTGCCCCCAAAAAGTCTCTTATAAATCACCTCACTTCAACAATCCTAAAAATCAGTAAGACCAATGTACGTACCAAAACCCACCACCTTTTCTTCTCAGAAGTTGTTGCACTTTAAGGAACAGCAGTCTTACAAACAGTCATCTCCTAAAACACGACCTGTTACTTTCTCTTAACAGTTCTGTAACAGTTATTTTCAGAAATCCATATTTTGTGACATGCATGCTTTGACTGTATAGCTGGGAGGAGATAAGCTGTTCTAGGAATGGTGTCCTACACTGCTAGTAAATAAAAGAATGGAGCTATTAAAGGGTTCATCATGTTCATTAGCTTTTACAAGCTGCACAGAACAATACCACTCTTAGACAAAATATTGTTTAATGTCATTTGCACACAGAGCAAAAACAAGAACAATGTGGATTTTGCCTGTTTGGTTCAACACATTTTAAATAGACCACAGCTTTGAAAAAAGTGATGTTGCTGGTGCTACAACAAATATTTCCAAAATGGATTAAAGAGCAAAACAACAGAAGAGAAAAATGTTCCTTTAAAATAGTGATTAAAATAACAATAGCATAAACACAGTCAAATCACAGCCAGCTTCTGTATCTCCCACTGTGTTCAAAGCTGACTTAGCTAGGAACCGTCTTATGGAACAGAGGAAGTGCACAGCCCAGGAAAGCAGTGCTAATAGACTGCAAACCCTTGGGGGAAAGAGGATACCTTTTCATTTTTCTGACATTCCACATGTGCCAGAATTGTTATGTAACTGCTAAGGACAATGCATAAAACAGGAATTGTGCAAGCAAATTTGGATTAAGCTGATGCTTGTTAGAATGCCAGTGACATTTTTATGTTGGTAAAATAGTTTTTACAGAATGTAAACATGATTTATTTCTTAATGTAAGCACTTACATTTTGTGTTGGAAAAATAATCTCCTACATGCTTCTATTTTAGTGACTTTGCGGGTGGACAAAATAAACTAAAAATCATCAGTGGTATAATGCCAACAGGAGTAATGGAGTTACAACAAAAATAAATGTGCAGGAACAATTATGAATTATGTGAAGTGTTTGGCATACACTGAAGTCTAACAAGAATTTTTGTTCTGGTAGTTTTAGCCAAATTGTCTAGCTATTCAGAGGTTTGAGTAACACACATTGACTTCTTTCAAATTCTCATGTACAGCATCACAGTGCCAATGCATGCTCTCTCTCAAGACAGGAGAGAGATCGTAATTGATTTAGCCACCACTACTCCAGAATAATTCCCCATGCAAATCAGTGTCTCTGGAATAAGAATATTGTCACAGAATACTTCTAGAGTAATTAAACCTATTTAGAAACAAGCTCACTATTTCATTCTCACTGCTTCATAATGAAGTAATTATTTTCTGCAACAATGTTAACATGTTAACTAGCCATAGAAGTACAGCTTTAAAAATCCCATAACACTGTTATTCTTCCTTTACAACAATAATGCCATTCTGCTTTAGTCATTACTGAAACTAAAATCGTAAGGGATCTCTAATGGACAACATGCTCCTTCAACTGGAATTCCAGAGAATTAAGAAGGTGAAAAGAAAAATCCCACATGGAACCAGTTTTCTGTTCCACTCTCCCTTGAGACAAGACAGCATGTAAAACTTGCCATATAAAACTTAAGTGGTATAAAACTCTTACCATATTTATAAAGCGGGAGATCTGGCCTAGAGTTATTATGGTATCCAGCAGCAGACATGGCAGCTGGGAGCTCCTCCATGTCAGGGAGTCCCTGCAATCAGAAAAGGTGTGAATAAATAGTGTGTTAATGTTCAGCCACTCCTCATCACACTTATGCTCCAGGCCCTTCCCCAGCTCTGTTCCCTTTCTCTGGACATGATCCTGTACCTCAATGTCCCTCTTGTCATGAAGGCCCAGAACTGGACACAGCACTCAAGGTGTGGCCTCAGCATTGGCAGTCACTGTGCTGGTCCTGCTGGCCATGCTGCTCTTAGGAAGAAGCATGATTGATTTTCTAATCAAAACATTGCTGATCTAAAAGAAAGCATAAGAACAGGTAAACAGAGGTGTAGATTGTAATTCACAAAATTTCTTTTCAGCTGCTTCAGTATTTTGGCTGACATGATGCCTCTTCTCACCAATCCTACTCCTGGCTTTCAGATCTCTGGAACCACACAGTCCTTGCCTTTCTTCAAAATAGATTCCCGCCTGTCTCTAACCTTTCTAGTCCTAACTCAGTCACTGTTTACATCATTTTAGTGATCTCATTCTTCCCTTCCTGGGATGCATGTTCTTTGCTCAGCACATTCCTTCCACATTAAGCAATCCCTCTGATATTTACAACATTTTAACTGCCATAAGGTTTACAAACTATGCACAGGTTCTTCACAATGTGCACGCCTAAATCCCCATCTTTGTTTCTTTTGAGCTTCAATAGCAAGAAACCCACACACATAACAGTTTTGACAGAAAAACTACTTGCCTAAACTACTCTCCCTCTCTTATTTTTCAGTCTGGAATCACATGGTATCAAAACTACAGAAGAAATTCTGTCTAAGGAGAAACTGCACTGCCTGTGCATTCAAAGAGAGGCATCATGAGCAAAGATCCAATGAGAACCTACCTTACAGATCTCTGGGATCTTAACAAAACAGGGTAACTAAGCAGTAGATCACACAGCTGAGAACTCTGAGCCTCCAGTTAGAGTCACATAAAAAAAGGATCGCACTTGCGAAAAAGACCTTTCACTCTTTATTTTTAGAGATACACAATCAAGGGGAATAAAGCTTGTGTATATGCACAGAAGTGAGAGAAACTCATGACTATTTTTAAAAATAATGAGCTGAGCATGTGTGGTATTTGAAATCTGAGAACATGGACACAGAGAATTATAAACTGGCATTTTGGTGTAGCAATCCATGTATTTCTTTGGATATCTCAAGCAAAACCAATTAATTTTATGCCCTTTTTGAATCCTGCAGTATGTGTTTAATTGCTCCAAAAGGAATGATTAAGAAAGGCTTTAACTCTAGATTAGAGCCATCAAAAAGAAGAATCCAGCTCCAAAGTACTCACTGTCAACCCACGATGAAATGTGAGACAGGTTCTAAATTCCTTTGCAGATGTGGAGTAATTCTATGATTGGACTGTAAAATAGAGCTTATGCTCTGGTGCTACATTTGGAAAACCAAAGAAGACTTTTATTTGAAATTCTTCCAATGAAATAGCTTCAAATACATTTCTATGAGGGAATTCATGGACTGCAGTTCTGCCAATGTCAAGCACAGGGAGAGGAACAGGCCAGAAACAGCATTTGTTAAATAGCAGTGTTGGAACAAGAAGTCAGTAAAAAGATGTTTCCAGGGCAAGATATCTTAGTTTGGACTAGAGATGGTCTTGTGTAAATATAAAAGACTCTTTATTCTTATACTTACAGGAGCACCAGTAAAGCTTAGGAGAGACTTGGTTCTTAATGAAGCCATCATGCTGAAATGTAGCTGTTTTCTATTCTCTAGTTCTCAGCTAAATCTCCACAGACTACCTGGAAAGAGAATTTGCCAGGGTTTAAGAATATTAATTTATAAATTCCTGGCACCTAGTTAAACTTCCAATAATTTACCTCTTACCCCCTGTATTTTCTTTTTCCTAATAACTTGCTCCTTTGCCTTTGTTTATAATGGCTCTTTCTGACTTCAAAGCAATTCTAAATATCAGGCTACTCATTTAGGTGCATAACTACTGTACATATTTGAATACCTTTAAATTTCAGGTCATGGCTCACAGTGCGTCACTCGAATCCCAGCTTGCTGCCACACCAGAAAGGGAAGCTATATTCCTTTCCTGCTCCTCCCAGTCTCAGCCAAAACATTTCTTTCCCATGTTGCAGTAGCTGGGGAAGTTACTTGATGTCAAGGTAAACTGAGTCAATTCAATGGTAACTCAGCACCCTAAAACAACTCTTGCCATTTTAAGGCTGTTGGTAGTGTATGGAATTTTAAAAACTTACCTGTTGGTGGTGAGCAAGTAACTTCCTGAAGCTGTTAACCTGTTTGGAGCCTCCTAGTGAAATACATCTTTCTCTTCTTCCTCAGCTCACATGGCTAAAGCATTGGTATTTCATAGGTGTCCCTGCCAGGCTGCAAAGTGCTTGTGGGAGCTTGGGTGGAAGTTATTACCGAAGTATGGACCTCTATTCCTAATGTCATATGAACAGAGCCCTCCATTTCACTGCTACAGGACTGACTCACCACAGGCTGCAAATGAGTGGTGAAGCTGCCTTGGGATAGTCTATTGTATTAATACCTTGCTGTCACCAAAAAATAACACCTGTTCCCCATTCTTACTTTACACCAGCCCTGGCATTTGTCAAATGCCTCTTATTTGATTCATCTGAGTAGCCCAGGAGGAAAAAGAAAGTGGATTGTTCTGTCACTAAATTTAATGAGCTGGACAGACTCAGCAGAGGGTCTAACAGCTCAGAGGCAGCTGGGCCAGACTCTTCTTTTATAGACAGTTTTGATCACTTAAGTCAGTCATGACGTGAGGATGGATTTATTTGGGTGGTTCTCAATAATAAAAGCATTTTAGTATTTATTAAATGAAGAGCTGGTATATTTATTCTAAACATTTTGAAGCAGAAGAAATCGAAACAATAAAAGTTTTTATAATGGTTTAAAACCTCAAGCAAACAGAACCATTTACACTCCAGCAGATATTTTTCCAGTAAAACTATCATAATTCCACTTTTTGTTTTGAGTACCAGCTGTTCCAAAGTGGAAAAACAAACTACTAGCCCTGTTAAAAATTTAGTGTTTGAGTTTACACAATTCCTATGTGTGACAGCCTGCAAAACAGGTTTGTACACTCTGAACGGCATCTGGCATCTTCTGAAATTCTGTGGACTAATTGTTTATATCCTAGCAAGTACCTAGGGAATAAATACCTGTCAAGGAAGGAAGAAAGAAAGCTTGTGAAATACAACTAATTTTTTTCCCCTGAAATCAGTGGTAAAATGCACTTCTGCACCTCTGATCAAATGCATATTTGGCCCTACTCCACACACACACACAAAAATTTCTCACAACTTAGTGCTTCAGGAGCCATCAGAAGGAAGCTCCATCTCAAAAACCTTAAAGAAGAATGCCAAAATGTGTGCAAGAGTTGCTGTCTCTCTGTTCTGTCTGCTGATCATCTTAAAGTATGTCTTAATTGCTTTGGAAAGGCAGCACCTGCCTCCAGTTAAGGCTTTCCTGTCCTGTAGGCTGTGTCAGAGCTCAAACAAAACACAAGCTTGCACTGCAGCGTTGCACTCATTATAAACCTGAGCTGTTAAATGCTCATCGTGACAGTAAAAAGTGTTCAGTAACAAGTCACTCTGTCAGCAGAATTGCATCCAGCTTGCTCTCCACTGGAGTTTTATGTATTATTCAACGCTAGTAACCCCTGAGCACTGAAATGGTGCTACCTTGTTTCCATACGATATGAAATGTATCAGACATCTCCTGTTAATAAATGTCACCTAACAAGCAAAGGTTAGAACTAAAAGAAAACAAACCAAAACAATGCACTGCATAGTACTTCTCTTTTTGTTAAACAGAAACATGCCATGCACAGCTGGGACTTACTTTTAGTTTGACAAAATTCCAAATATTACAAGAGAAGCACAGGTGAGACTTTTCCTTAATTATATGAAATTCAAAAAATAGAGACTGACAATGTCTGAAAACTGCAAAATGACTATGTGCCAGACAATTACCAGAGAGTGGTTTTCACAAGGTCTTAAAACTCATTATTTAGGCTCTGGTGAGAGTAAGCTCTTGGTGGTGCTTCAAGGAAAGGCTTCCACTTAGCAGAGATTTTTAGTCTCTCGTAAGTCTCATTATAAGTGATACTTTTTCTTCCAAAATGAACTTTCTATTATGTTACTGGGTATTCTTTTGTTTTTACTTTTACGAGTACTACCCTGTACACTAATGTTTTCCCTGGATATGGTCAGTTGGAAGCCCATATTTCCATTAACACATGTAGAAGTTTTTGTCCATGGCCCACATGTTGCTGCTGATGTGCAGCCAGAAACCCTCTGGTTCTCAAGTCAGGATTATGTTACACAGCTGCCCCTTCAGGAGAGCTTCGGTTCCCCAACCAGAACTATCCTGGATTCTGTACCAAACGGAGATCTTTCTTTTTTAGTTCTAAGACTACCTGCTTTCAAAACAGCTCTGTAACCTGTCCTACAGTGTTCTAATATGAACGATGCTGTAGATTACTTGGTCCTTGCACATCAGCACTCCAAGAAACTCCCAAGCATTTAGTACCACAGCCTCATGCAGTCCCATAACCAAAACCTGCTTTCCCCTCTGTTCCGTGCTGTTTCCTCTAAATATACTTCAAGCGATGTTTTTGGGTTTGTTTGTTGAGGTTTTATTTTAAAAACTTCTAAGAGTTGTAGCAGTGGAGGAAGGGCCTCAGTATTTGGAAAGTCCTACTAACTCTGGCTTAACTGGATGGGCTTTTTTACATGGTAACAAACAAGTAAGAGTGTCCTGTAGAATTACCAATACTGGAACTTTCCATGCATCCTGTTCACTTCTGGCTGGACAGGTACAGCCCTCTGGCATCCCGCAGGAGGGCGTGTGCTCCCACAGCTTCCCCGGGAGCTCTGCTACCACCTGTGCCATGTCCCTCTGCACCTCTGCTCTCCAGGACGGGTTCGCTGTGATTTGGCACCGCTGGGCACTGACCCGAGCGGTTCCCGTCCCGCCTGAGGCGTTCGCGCCAACTCCGTGTCCCGCATCCTCCTGGAAAAAGGGGCGGGGTCGACAGGGACGCACGGCGCGCGCGGGCGCCGCCGGGAGTTGCAGTTCCTGAGCGCGCAAGTAACGCAGTCAACTTCATTTCCCGTCTGTCCTCGGGAGGCGGGCGGCGGGTGCGTGCGCGGGGTATGACGGGTATTGTAGTTCTTGCGCCGCGCCTCGGACATGCGACGGGAGGAAGGCCGGGGGAGATAAAAACTACTACGATGGTGGTAGGAG